GCCTATTAATAGTTAAAAGCCAAGCTGATGTGAAAATAAACCAGACACCTAATCCACTGGATGCTGAAGGGTATTTGTATAAACTTATAAGCCAAAATGTTATTTAAAATGACATGCAACTACTAAATGTCAGTCTGTGCTTTCTACTCTAGAAGCTGGGGGTGTCTCCCAGCTGACAGATTACCTTCTAAAATATATCAAAAAAAGTTTTTTTTTTTTTTTTCCCTCCATTACATCCAGTCAGTAATATTTACACAGCAGTCCATTCTCTCCATACTTGCAGCTTACTTGGAATGTGAGCTTTTAAGTTCTGACTATGTATTTATCTGTATTTTACCTTATTTAAAATGTCCTCAGTAATTATACATAATGGATTCCAGATTTCCCCATAGCTGGTTTCAGTATTGCAGTATTTTAAAAGTAATCTGAAGGTTACCTCCTGACTGCAAGAACCTTTTTTTTTACCCTCCATGTTAGTTTAAAAAAAAGCTTATGTTTACCCACAAATTGAAGAAATATTTAAGTAATGCATTCTAGATGCATCAGCAGAACGTCTCTTGCAAAGAGATAAACGTGAGCACTGAATGTGGTCTAACTGAACCAGAGTTGACGAAAAGTTTTTTCGCCCTCATTTCTAAAATATTTAAACCATATAACCATTACTGTTTCAACATTTTTCTGTCTTAAAAGATATATTAGATCAAAGAAGGTAAATGCCAACTAAAAGGTTCTGGAGATGCAGTTCAATATTTTATTGATCCCAAAGGGAAATCAGATGTCATAACTCATAGGTTTTTGGTTTCTTTTTTTCCTCCAATGAGTTGCTGCAGGCAGGAAGGATCTCCCCAAGCTGTCCATCTTGCAGCAGTTCTGACAAGCATCTTTCTTCAACAGTCTTCTGGAGAAGATCCTAAAGTTTGTCCATAATGTTCTTCATTTCATGAACATTTCCTCTTTGTAAAATCATCTCTTCCCAGAACAGAGCTGGTCTTTTTCATTGGCTTATTAAGCTTCTTTAAGTAATTTGCCACAATGGCAGAAGAGAAGAGATAACCAACTCCACAACAGACCAGAGGAAAATCGGTTCTTCTGTGACTTGCAAAATTATTACATACCTTTCTTGGTTTTCAAATAATTTAAATCTTCAAAGACAACATGATATCCAACTTAACATGTATTAAGACTGGCAACCAGTTAAATTCTCAAATCAAACAGGTAGAAATAAAAGAATATCCAAGAAATTAGATGGATGCAAATGAGTGAAAATTAATACTAATGCTCTCCATAGAAGAGGCAGAGTGTTTGTAATCTCTTTTCCCCGCTGGCGGCACCACTCACTCTTCAAAACACAAACTTGGGCTACGATTCGCACATAGAAATGAAAACAAACGAATGTAACCCCCTCTTCCCTTGACAAAACGTAGGTTTTATATGTGCAAAATAAAATACGTAATGAAACAATGAATCAAACTAAATTAGAAAAAGAAAACGGTTGGGAACAGAGAGAGCAGCACTAGAAGCAGGGTGATTGAAATAAATAAATGTTCATTTCCTACAATGTCCATTTCAAAGAAGCACAACTTCTGGCCGTCTCACTCATCTTCATCGTCCTCCTCCTCGCCGTCAGAAAGAGAGGCGCAGGGGCGGATCTGGCGGTATCTGTCCAGCCATTTCTCCACCATCTGGGTGACCAAGGGGTGGTTACGGCGGCGGGAGCTCTTCTGCATGGCGACCAAGAGGCCTCCGTCTGTCACGCAGCAGTCCAGCCACTCCCTCAGGAGCTTCTCCTGCTGCTCGTCGTTTCCCATCTGGATGTAAGCAAACAACATAATACTTCAACATACACCAACATCAAAGTCATACTTTCCTAAAAGTCTTGCTAAAGTGAAATTAGACATCACAAGTAAATGCAGCCTTGCTTTTAATAATAAAAAAAAAAAAAACTTGTTTCAAAACTGGCATGGACTTAGAACCCAGCTACATGCTCAATGAGAAGAAGGTTCGGGTCACATTTAACATAAACTGCACTGCAATATAGTTCTGGTCAGAAGTTTTACGATGTTCCACACCAACATGCATGCTTTAGTGGCACCACCAGCACCCCTGGAAGTCATTGGATATCCAGTAATTAAAAAGAGAACAAGACCGGATTGTTTTTTGTCATCGCTTTGAAGAAAATCTCATGACATTCTGCTAAAAAACTGAAGAAGAAATAATTGTTGCTTGCCTGAATTTAGACAACTATATTTAAAAAGTAAATGAAGTATAATTTAATTTTCTAAAATTAAATTTCTTGTAAAAAAAAAAATGTTTAACCAAATCTTCAGTAGAGATGGACTAGAACCTATTTTGCTTTAAAATAAAAAATAAAGCCATTAATTTTCAATATTTAATAACAAAACTGTTACTTTTTTTGGGTTGAGGTGATTACACAAAGTTTTCATTATTTTTAAAAGCAACGATTTTAGGGTCATATTTTTAAATCAAACTAATGTTGGATAAATCTCCATTAGCATTTTTGTATCAGCATTAATAAGCTTCTAGTAAAGTTTTGGTTCAGTTTGATATAAAGGATGAGATGATTGATTGGAGACATCAAGGTGAAGTTTTCAAACATAGCTCTACAGACTGCCAAGCAAAGTATTAGCACCGTCATGCTGAGGGCCAACTGGTACCAATTCATAAAACAAGGGAACTGGAATAATCTAGTGGGATTATGCATTGAAATAAGAAACGGGCACAAAGCCAAATTTCACTGCCGCCTATAAAAGATAGTATTTTGAGGCCTTTATTGTGACGAAAAAAAAAATTCATTATAGGTTAAATAATCTGCCTTTTTTAGCAAAGCAAAATAAAAATTGCAGAGGCATTAAAATCAAGTCCCATTGGCCCTTTAGGGGGCAGTGTTGTACTTAAAATTGGAACGCTGCAGCTATCATGCATCATGTAGCCCTCATCTGCTATGGAGGACCAGCTCGACCACATTTAAAAATAAATACAGAAACAAATAAATAAGCATATAATTAATTGCCCCAAGAAAAACAATAAGATAAATGTAGGTAGAAATTAAATTATACTGCGAGACATAAATAAATGTATGTCTTTTAATTAGCTTCTTTATTTGCCTTTGTAATAATTACCTTATTTATTTATTTATTTCCCCTTATCATCTTCAACTTTATTTATTAATTACTTTTTTTAAGTATTTTAATATGTGCATGTTATAATATTTTGTCTGTTTTTCCTTCATTTGTATTTTTTACCATATTTATTTCTTCAATGTTATTTATTTCTGCCTGTCATTTTTACATTTCTGTCTGCATTTCTGCCTCATTATGCAAATAAGGAGAGACTGTCTTAGAGGATCTACTTCTGCCCATTGGTTGGTTAGCATTTTACTGCAAAAAAAAGTTGAAAAAGATATATACATGCATGTCTCACTGTATAATTTAATTTCTACCTACATTTATTTGTTTATTGTATTTTTGGGGCAATTCATTGTATGCTTATTTATTGAACATTTATTTATATATGTATTTATTTTTAAATATGTTAGAGCTGGTCCTCCATAATCTACAACCCCTTCAAGTCAAAAAAATTAATAAATAAATAAATAAATAGTTGTCTTAGTTGTCTTCCTGCTGAATAGAACACAATGTACTGTCGCTACACAATTTTTAAACCTAAGCAGCATTAACAGATTATTTCATAGAACAAGCATTGGAAAAATGTGGAAACCTTCCAAAATACTAAGATTGCGGAGCCGGTGTTTATTGAAATCTTCCATCTCTCATCCTGTTTGTAGCTAGGGGATAGAAATTTGGTCACAGTTGGACGTTTAACAGGTCACAGATCCTAAACAGGAATCTTAAAAGATAAAGCAGTCTGACCCCCAAGCTCAACACAAGATATGTAGAAACCATCTCTTCTGTCCAAGAATGAAATATTCTGAATAAACTCTAAAAATCTAGATTAAGATTAAATGTCCCACCAGAATGATACTAGAAGGCTGCTGGCTAAGGGATACCAATATTTAGAGTTGCTCCATGTATAACTTTAAGACAATTTATAACCATTGTACAGTAGATGGTAAGTAATAATTTCTCCTTTATAAAAACAAAAGTTGTAAAATTCTTAATGGACCTGTAATAGAAATCAAACCAATAAATTTTTGGATTAAGGAGACATATATCCTATTAAATGTGCAGCTACACTGATCTCGATGCCCACCTCCTGAGCAGACAGGAAGTGGATGTGCAGTAGCTTCCGTTCGCTGTCCACTAACGGCAAAAAGGTGACCGTGACATCATCATCTGTATTGAGGTTAGCGCCTGCACCGCGATTGTCGTATCCGTCATTCTCCATGGCCACCAGGGCGGAGAAGTGTCCCCGCGTGTAGCCTAGGGCGATGGGGCTCTTCCAGCAGAAGCTCTGCTCCCATAACAGAGGAAGGTACACACCTAAAGACACAGAAACAAGTCAGACAAGCTGGGAAGGGCTGAACCTGGCGCCCCTGGAACAAACAGGCTGTTCTTCTGAGCACTTTATATTTAACTGTGTGTGAGAGTCAGGAGGCAAAGCAGTACTTTTGATATCAGAAGCTTTTCAGCTGACTGGAAACAAATGGAGGATTGTTAGAGAAGTGCCTCTGAAGCATATTATTATGCACTTATTGCTCAACAATGTCTCTGTAAGTTGATATTTTCCTGCAGGTATACCAGTTTACCTTCAGGCTATCAGATGACATAACTTTCTGCTAAATGATGATAATCTGAAAAAGTTTGTTTTATCTACAGCGTGAAAACTTATCAAAAGAAAAAAGTAATCCTGACTTACTTCCTCGATTAAGATAACGGCAGTTTCTTACAAAATAAATCTGACTATATACAAAGAGAATCAGAGCCATACCCGCATGCTTGCAGAGTCTGTTTACCTTGAAAACGAGTGTATCCCAACGTTTCCCCGCGGAAACTTTTGTAGTATTTCACTCCGTAGACTATGATGGGTCTTCGAAGAATGTGTGCGAGAACAAAAATATGGGTCTGCTCCAAGCTGGCCCCAGGCTGGAGGGACGCAGAAGAGACAACATTTATTAACACTAATTACAATCCTATCAGGTGACCAAGTAGACCAGGGATTTGTGGCCTAGTCTTCCTGCCATTAGCAGAGAGTTTAAGGAGGGTTTCAATATTTTAAGGATTCAGTTTAAAGCTACATTTGGTGGCTGCTTATGCTGATTAACTGCGACCGCTATCAGACTTCTGTGTAAACAAATCAGGACAACAAAACGACCGTCACGTGCAGAAAGAAAAGGTTGCCATCACAGAGCGGCGGTCTGTTTACAAAATTGTGGATGCGATTGTTACCTAGACGGGTTCAAAGAAGCTTGGTTTAAAGAAAAATTTAAAAATAGCAGATGCCGGTGTGTGTTATTAAACTGTTGAGCAACGACAGCCAAAAGTATGACCACATAAAACAAGGGAAGGAAAAAAAAGGCAAGAGTGCAGGGCTCGATGTTAACGATTGCCTGATCGCCCGGGGCAAGTAATTTTTATTGTCGGGAGAGTACAAATTTCATTGCATTTGTGTGCCGGGCAAGTGCAGTGATCGCAAAAAAAAAATGTTATCACTCAAAATTACTTTAAAATCACAGACATTCACTGAAAACGACCCACAAGCGTTGCCGGCGCCATTTTTGTTGTTTTGTACACATTCTTTGTTGATTTGAAAAAGCCCCGTGATTTTCCGCTAGATGTCAGGATTTTTCTCCTCTTGGGGAGAGAATTCTGCAGAAAAGCAGCTAGATAATGAATTTAATCTATACTATAATACAGTGGTCATACATACATTAAAAAATGTTCATTAAATTTTTTTCTCTTAGACATTGCAGTGTTGCATTTAAATTTTATAGAGCTAAAAATATTAAATTGGTGAGTAGTAGTAGTGTAAGTTTTTAACCTGTCAAGCTTTTTTTTAGATTTTTAACATTACAATTTATATTTTTCCAAGCACACAACAGTTTAAAGCAAAGTTTAGTTTGAAAAGAATGTGCAGGAAGGATTGAAAAGCATGTTAACACGGTAATGTAGGCTTGAGTTCATTATCTGACGCATGCATATACACACCAGAAACAAACATGTTTCATTGATATATATACAAAAATTAATATTAGGAACTATATTTATCAAACATAAAGTAAAAATTGTTTCTGGGGAAATGAAATGTGAAAGAAAAAACCTTAACGTCAACCCCTGGAGTGAATAGTGGGAATCAGGAAAAGACTTTACAGTTTTTTTTTTTTTTTTTGTTTTTTTTTTATGAAGTTGAGTGGATCAGCGTGAAACCATTCAGACTACCATGAAAGATTGAGATATGGGCAAAAAAAAAAAAAAAATGTAATTGCCTGAGATGAATGTAGCCTAATTTCACTTTAAATCTCAAATATGAAACAAAAAAAATTTACTAGTAATTTCATTTGAATAACTATACATGTGTAGCGGTCTGAGCAGGCAGCAGACAAAACACTAAACACTGCAGGGTCCTTTTGATTTAAATGGCTTTATAAATATCTGTGTTTTGTCTTTAGTACATCTATCACTCCTGTTTAAATACTGACAGTTTCCAATGTTGACTAAGAAAATAATATTTGCCGCTGTTGATTGGTGTAATATGATCTTCTTGTTTTTTGTTATAGAACATTAAAAAGGCTGGATTTGTAACTAGTGATTGGTCTGGCCCATTTAAACCATTATTGCCAGATGACAGATCATGAAATGAACAACATTTATTTGGTCCTTGCATGACGTAGGAGAAGAGGCAAACTAATGAGTTTTCTAAAAAGAAATTTAATGCCGTTTTTTAGCTGAACAGTTACAAAATCTCCTCTTGGTACTGCATATAAACAGAGCTGAACAAGGGACTACAAGCTAAAAAAAAATCTATAAATGCAACTCAGAGTCAGTGATACCTGCAGCTGGTTCTGTCTGCATGCTGGTGTCTAACCTGATAATCTTGATCCTGCACTAACGGAAACAGCACAAAGATTATGCAACTTATCTCCAACACAGAGCTCCATCAAATAGATTCAAGGGAAAAAACAAAAAGAGGAGACAGTAGCCATAAACCATCATGGTGTATCAGGCACATTCAGCCTGAGTGGAGGACATCTAATCAGAGCTTCTGCTATGTTCGTTTTCTGTGTCCGTAGTGGATTGGCTAGATCCCAGAGTCACATGCTGAGAAGTAATGCTGCCTCAGCAGGTGTGTCACAAGTAGATCAGCTGTCAATCTGCAGCTCTGTTCCTTATAACTCCATAATTCCACCTCAGCTCTTAGGACGTCTCTTATTATTAATAACTCAATTTTAGTAAGAGCTGGGGAATATACAGAAAACTACAAACTAAATTGCTTTGGCACAAATCCTATGAAAAAGTCTTCATAGTTTATCAAAGCTTTAAAAAAATGTTGCTTATGAATAATGTAGCCTCCTATTTACTGAATGAAGGAAGCGGCAAATTAAATTAAAATCAGATTAAACACTTTCTCGGTGCTATGAAACTAAACTAGATCCCTAAATAGTTTAGTGGTTTGCCGCTGGAGCATGTAATGTATATCTAGGATGACTGTCTAGGACTGTAACCTTCCAACCGTTGGGAGAATCATCTTTCCTTCTTGTTAAAGTAGGAATAGTCCTGGAACGTCACAGCTTGTTGTTACAGCTTCAGACCTCAACATGTTTTATTTTGTGTTAGACCGACACATGGTAGCACATAGTTATGAAGTAGAAAGAAAGATCACTGGTTCCAAACTGTTAAGAGAAAAATAAATGTGTGTATTTTTTCTTTGCAAATGTGTCAATAATGTGACCCATATAAATGTAGGTTTGAGCCAAGCTAGTCTTTTTCAGCCTGGAAGAATTTTTCCTGCAATACTATCTGTATTTACCTTCATCGAACTTCTTGTTTATACATATGCACACAAAAGTTTTCAAGTTTGTAATTAAGTTTCTGGATAAAATATACCTGAATATAGGAAAGTTCACGCAGTGATAACACTTTGTCAGCTATCATGTCATTCTTATGAATTCATATCATTGTAACAATCAGTATTAAAGAGAATAATAATTACCTGGCTGGCCAAAGACAGGATGAAAGCCCAGTCCTCTTGCCACTGCTCTTCTCTAAGAGAGAAATGTAAACCAAAGCTCTGCGAGTACCAGGACTCCCACTCCTTCCAACGACTGTAAAACCTGGAAAATATTCAAGTAGGATACAAGAAATATGCTCTTTATTTGAATTAAAAAAGGTCCTACTTATCAGTTCAATTTTGCATTACATTTTCACAGTAGAAAGCTGTGATTGAACTAAAAACTAAAATTTCAGCTGTTGTGCACCTAATTCACATGCAAATTAAAAAGCACATTGATTAAATCTCTTCCCAAGACATCAAATCTTAATATGGAATATCTTGTTTGTGTGCAAATAACCAAGACAGGTTCGCAGCAGGCCAGCAAAAACAGCATTTCCCAAAGGACCTGCTAAACCTGAATCAATAAATAGCCAGAACATTTTAATAAATAAAACATTTTAAACAAAAGGAAAGGATGTCGGTGACAACCAAACACAATTTAATTGGAAGATATTATAATTTTGGATGTTCTTTTGAAATAACAGTGATGAGGATGATTTTTGCAAGAAAAAAAAAAATCTAAATGATTTCCCAAGGGCCTGGTTTCTCACCAGTGGGAGCAGTCGTGCAAGCTATCATGGAGGGTTTTACGAAGGACAGAGTCCTTGTCATAGATCCCCCAGGTAGCCTGCAGAACCGAGTCCAGCAGACAGTCTCCAGCTGTGCGGTTCCACAAGGCGTAGAGACGGCTGTCCAGGCGTGTCCCCAGCTCCAGGGACCAGTTAATAACTGGAGACTCTTCTTCCAACTCTATGGACAAAATGTCAAATGGAAATAGATCAGTGGTAAAAAAAAACAAAAAAAACTGTAAAATGATAAAGACTTTTAAACCAGGCTTTAATATTTAAACAGAAACAATGTTTTCCATTGCATCTAATTAAGCCTTGCTCTTGTTATTTATGTATTATGATCATAAAGCTTTTTATTTTTTTTCCCCCAGAAACAAAATCCCTTCACCCCGGTTGCTTATTTGTGTGTGTAAGACACAAAGCAAAACAAATGTTCTCCAGCATTCACAGAGACACGATGCTGTGACACATTGTTTCAGTGTGTAGGAGGGAAGCTAAGAAGCTTAATAAACCAAATTAGAAAATGGAGTCGAGTCAGGATGAAGTAAAGGACTCTGAAGCAGTCGAAGAAAATCTAGTTTAGTTTTCTTTTTAGCTTCCTCCAACTGTCAGGCAGCTTATTAAATGGAATAAATCATGAATACCTTTTTGCACATCTCGGTCTAGCATGTCGTCAAACAGCTTCTCCTGAACAGCAGGGGGCAGGTCCTCAATATCTGCCAGAAGAGGAGAGAAACACTCATTTTTATGACCATTGTTGCATTAATTGTGTAGTAAGTGAAGAGCTACATAATGATTTGCAGTGGAGGAATGCCCTTTGCAGTTCCATTCCCCTCATGACATTTAGTCAATGGTATACTGTGAACACTGGGGCTCAGAGCAGCAGTTGTGTTTCTGAGTGTATTGAGCAGAGGCCACAGAGAGCGAGAACACAGCTGGTTATTCTATGGATCAGAGCTGATTTGAATGGCTTTCTGAGAGACTGAATGAAAGCTGCAGCTGGCCTCAGGTCAAATCCTTCTAGAGCTACATAACTGGTATCACACATGTATGCACGGAGTCACCTCCAACCCTAAATCCTCTGTACTCAGTTCTATATAGGAACCCCGCTTGTTCTTCAAAGCAAAGGGAGCCGATTTCAGCCATCATATTATTGGACAGGGCTGGAGCTTCGATGCCATTCCAAACTGGGACATAGAGCCCAGGATTACATTTCCCTCCAATGCCAGACTCCCTTCGGAAACATTTGTTGTTCCTCACTCTGATAGTACATCGAATACAGGGAGACAAATATTGCTTTTATGTGTGAAAACAAGCCAAAATGTACAGCATGCTGCAGAATCCATCTGTCTTGTCAGTCAAAGCTATTTCATCCGAATAAAGACTCTGGCACAACAGCCTCATTAGCAGCTTAAACATGAGTTAACATAAAGACTAAAACTATGATAATATTTTCTAAACAGACCGATTTGCTATAACTTGAGAAGAAATGCAAAATTTATTCAGACAAAAAACGTAACTATAGTTTTTCCCCTCTGTGCTGTTGCTGCATGCCTGATAGGTGTGAGGGATCACTGTAGTTAATGACAAAATGCAAATGAATGTCTGCTGTCATTAGACGGTCATCCAGGACGAGTGAATCCGAGTGAATTTTCTATCTAGGGAAACCAGCTGTTTGCATCCTGACTGTATGATCTGATTGATAAATACACTGAATTGAACTGGATTTTTAGCATTTATGAGGCATAGAAAGGGATTTGAGGATAAACAAAAAAATGTTAGTTCCTCACTCCATTCTTATGCCTTAATCATCTCTTCTTCTTTTCTGAATTATCCCCCCCTACTAAATAATCTTCAGGTTTATTTTCATCTAATAAAGCAAACATATTCTAGCTCCAGTGGGTCCTCTATCTCCTTTCTTTTTCCCAGTTGAAATAAAAGCTGTTCAACTCACTGAAGCTTTAGAGAGATTAGAAATCTATGGAGATGTCAAACATATGTCATTTTCATGGCAGCGAGTCTGGTTTGCCTGTAGCAGAAAAATGGTTTCCTTTAAGAATCCCTCTGCAGGCCCAGGTTGATTGCTCTTAAAGGGGTCCCATCCCCCCACAGAGGGATCCGTTACAAAATGTTCTTATTAACCCCCCCATTTCTTAGCAAGGACTTAGGCGGCTGCAATTCTGTCTATCACAGATTACTTGTTTGTCTGGTTTGATTCAGAGAACATTTTCAATGCAAGTGATCTGCTCAGAGAGCAACTGACACACTTGCCTTAGATTTCATCATCTTCAGAGGAATCTGGTCAGTTTTTAAAGCAGAATAAAAACTCTCAAAGTTCTACCTAGAGCTAAAATATGATACAAATTATAATTGAGGAAAACTCCTTTTAGACAGGAAGAAACCTCTAGCAGAACCAGGCTTGGTGTGAGCGACCATCTGCTGAGGCCGACTGGGGTCAAGGAGACAGAAGCAGAGATGCATAAGAACATAGAAGCACTGATCTATAAATATTTCCAGAATATTGTGAACATTTATAAGAAAAGCTGCAGACTAAGACAGACAACCAGACTGGGTCCTGTTCTACTAATTTATCAATAAAGTAGCCAACTTTTCCAAAACCTAAAATTAAATAAAACGGCAGCTGTATAAGTTTTACTGTGGTCGATATTTATGTTGATGTAAACTCAAAGATAAAGAAAATAGACTGATTGGCACAGGTAGTGGAGAAAAGATTACACCTGGAATGATTATGGTGTCATGAGTACCTGCAGGAAGAGTGAAGGTGACCAAGTCGGTGAGGAAGTAACAGGCAAAGTCCCCTTTGCGTTGGTGAAGGGATGCTGCAATCTCCCTCCTGATCTGCTCAGTCAGCTCGGGGCACACCATGGAGGGAATGCACTTCGCTGCCTGCTGATTCACCTTCAACCAGAACAGGAAACTCAATCACTGGAAATGGCTTTGTTTTGGTTAAAGTTTTCATAAGTTATAAAAACTGATCAAATTTTAGATAATTCTTTATTACTATTGGATTAGTGCATTTGAATCATTCTGTATATATAAATAAATAAATAGACGTGAAGGAAAACGCACATTATGCAGTGTCATTTGAGAAAGCAGCTGCAAAGTTTATGCATATTTGTTTTATCCATCACATGGCCCTAAAGCAGCATGCCATCTTTAAGCAAAGAAGTTGTGGGTCTGAAAGCATCTATATTGGCTGATAATTTGCATCTACAGTAGACATAGTTATTTATATTAGAAACATTAGTTATGTCCTGTGGCATAGGAGAGGAAAGTGTTTATGTAAAATCTGGGTTTCATTAGTTCAAAAGCAAAGAAAATATTTACAGAAGTGACATTTAAAACATGTTTAATCATCTTTTAATACTTTTAACTTTTATTAATAACAACAATAATAAAAATACATTTTTTGGGTAGCTGTTTTTGTATGCATCATCTAGAACACTTGGATCTTGGATGGACTTTAACATATCCAAAAGGCAGCCATGTCTCGATCCATTATATTCAACAAAGGATTGCTAGAAAGTTAAAAATCATAAAACAACTTTACTCTTCTCTGTTAACATGTTATCAACAGAAAGCCTCTCTCTTTAGCCAGAATCAAACCCAGAAATGTAGAATGGAGAAACATTTCTACGCTCTACCCCTTATGCTAATTCGGCTAGCAAATCTTAATCGTTAAATTCCATTTCAAGAGTGAGATCATCTGTGGTAGTAGCACTAGACATCTTCCAGGCATGTGAGTAAAACTAGCAGCAGTTCAGCCAACAGGCTAAATTAATGGTAGCTGGCGCACACGGATGACGTCATACACACTCCGCTTTGTTTTAAAACAATATAAATATAAAAAATTAAACCGTGGATGTCTGGGGGACAGTGATTCACCTACATGTAATGAATGCTGGCGTACCATAAATGATAAATTATGAACAGTTTAGATTGTGCCTTCAAGTCGTTGCCCATAGGACGACTAGGAAGACGTTACTTGGATTACAAAACCGAATGTCTTCGGAACAGCTCCAAATGACACAAAACTAACATGGGTGAGTAGAACATGATGTAATAACGTAAAATCAAGGGGCCAATGTAAAAAAAAAAACGTGTTCCCTTTAACCAACGACATTTTGTAGCTCAGGAACATCCACACTGCTAATCTGCTTCTGTCTGCATGACATGAAGTGGATCAAGGTCCTCATCAACTCTAGCTGTGTACGCTAGCAAGCAACACAAAATATTTGTTCCAACCTCTTTTTTTCCCACCACATTGAACAGGTAGCACAGAACCGTTTCATTAACTTATATAAACTCAATTCAATATAGATATTTATTTAGCTAATAAAACTATAGAGCAAGGGTGTAGTTGGAGGAATATATACGATGCAATGACTGAACAATGCAGACCTAGTCCAGGGATCATACAGGAATGAGTAACTTTAATCTAATGCTCTTTTAATGCTCTTAGAAATCCTTTTAATGCCATCAACAAGTACCCATGACTCTCATGTATAACACAGCAGAGAGGCTGCAGCAATGTCCTGAATTCCTCGTTTTCCAGACGCTTTTGTTGAAATTAGCATTTTTCCCATTCTCTAGCCTTTTCTCCGCCTCGAGCTTCTTTTTCTAACATACGGCTTTACAGTCAACCGCAAGCAGTTCCGCACAAATATATTGCGAGATATATCTGATGAAATTGTTTGAACTTTTTTTTCTTAATTAAGCATTTTAAATGCCACAATAATTACATTAATTGAATTTTATTGCCAATTCCGGCCTTAATTAAAAAAAATATAATTGAATGACTTAATGACCCGCAGAAACCCTGTAGTCTGGGGGGCAAAAAAAAAAGATCAATCTAAATATTCACACTTTCTGTAAAATAAGTTAATATATAGATTATTCCAGGACACAGTATGCATTGTCATGGCACCAACGAATTTGTCCAAATGACCTTTGACGTTTTACATTAAACAGATAAAAACAACACCAAGACAAATAATAGACTGCTTAATTAGTCTTTTACTTATGTTGTCCCTCTATGTTGCCTTTAAGTTTATAATATTTTGTATTATAGTCCTTAGGAAGAAAATGGAAAACCAAAAACAATTTAAATCTGCAGTTTAATCATCTACAAAACCATATTGTAACAGATAGAAACCGTTAAATAATTTGTTAAAGAAAATTTTCAACTAAAGAGAAAACATCTGCTTTCACTGATCATGAAATCATGGTTTTTAAAAATGGGATGATTCTGATTAAACGTCCTCATAGACCATGACTTCAGCTTTTATCTCTATTCTTACCTCTGTCAATAAGATAGCCAGCATGTCCTGCCTCTGGAAGCGAATGGCCAAGTGGACCAGGGTGAAGCCCACATCGAATGCTGAAGACCTGTTAAGGAGCTGCACCTCGTCAGCGGTGAGCTGCCGAGCAATATCGCCGCTTGATGACTTGTAGGCCTCCACGGCAGCCAGGTCTCCTTCTACCACACCTGCACAGAGACAAAGAAATCAGAAGGTTTGACTCAATGTGAGGAATCAAATATTTATAACCCATGTGTGGAATCTGTGTTTGTTGGCTCTCGACTTATCGAACCCTGCTTCACTCTGATCCTTGTGAAGCTACTAAAATTAAGCAACTTTTATTAATTAAAAATATATACTTTTATAGTGATGTTATGTAATTTTTCATCTTGCAGAGCAACTGACCTCTGTTTTTTAACATTTATAGGCAATGATCACTCCATTTTCTGAAAGATAAACACCTAAGACATTTCATTCCATGTAGTTTTCAAGCCTCCGGATGCCACACTGCTCTGCTCCTTTAAGGCACGAAAACAGCTTTCAAAATGTTGGGCTAAACATCCTAAACTGTAGCCTAAATGCAGAGCCATCACATAGCTAAGCCAGGCAGAGGGAATGCTGTGCAGATTAGCGTTTCCCCCTCCCTCTAATTCTGGACCCGGTGGCCAACATCTATGATGAGTGAAAGGTGCAGCAGCTAGCTGCAGGCCAGTTTAAACAAGCTGCCTCTTATGAGGAGACTCTTTCTGCCAGGAAACAGGATGGCCGCTGTGAGCGAATCCAACCCCAGAGCCATCACGTCTCATCTTACACACGCCGGGTGACATTTTGTAAACACTCTTCTATAACTAGACACTGAATGATTCTGGCTGGCACATTCTGCGAAGGCACCACAGCCGAAAGACTACCTGTAAAAACAGGTTCTCAGCTTAAAATGATTAAACTGAGAAAAAGCAAAGTATTTGTTCCATGACATTTGATATTATGTTGTATTCGCATGTGTTCAATTGTAACTAGCGCTGGGTATTTTCACCAAAGTCGTGAATTGATTTGATTTTGATTCATACAGTTCTAAATCGATTAAATCTGGTCTTACAACAATGAAAGTGGTTCAACTGAGTTTCAAAATACTCGTGTATTTTATTTTTTCCTGTCATATTAAACACAAAGTGCAAACTTTTAAATCTGACAGTTTAAACTTGAGATGTGAACAAAACTGTCTAAAGTGCAAACTTGTTTGTTAAAAGTGAAACCTCACTCGAGCAAGCAGACGTGAGACAGCAGACATGCATGAGCTGCACCATCTTCACTGCACAAACCATATTTGCAGCGTTGTCTGTAACAACTACAGGGTGTTTGCTGGTCAGCCGCCATTTGTTAATGTCTTCAGTCAACCTATTGGCTTTATTTGCAGCTGTCTGGCTTGAAGTCATCTTGAGTGCCTCTTTCCTGCTCATTTGAATGTGACCGTCACGCGCGTCACTATAAAACTAATCGATCTCATTCCCTAGAAATCATTTCAAAATCGATTTTTTTTTACCCAGCCCTAATTGTAACATAAAACTTTTCTACAACGTTTATAATGAACAGTGTTAATGTATAAAATGTAAGGCTGAATAGATAACCAAATTGACTTTACCTTTGAAAACAAAAAAACCATTTCACATTCTCTTGTCAATAATAGATTTTTTTTTTAAAAAGCATGCATTTAAAGCCCATCACCTTAGGTGGAGTAGTAGTCTGTTAAAAAGAAAAAGGATGTCAGTGGCATAGCAGGCAGTTTATTTGGTTTCATAAAGCTGTATTATAGAACAATCGGACCTACTAGAGCATTTTAGCGTTTCCTATTCTCACATTTAAATTGAGGAATGGAAGATTTGCTTTCATCAAACAAGGTTAAGTTACGTTTTAACCCTATTTAAATGTAACATTTACACCAAACTTTCTTAGTTTGGCAGTGAGATGTTGAGAGGCTAAGTTTTTTCCTCTGCCTACATTACCCAGAATGCAATAAAATGAGAGAACTGAACACTGTATCAGACATATTTTGGATTGATAATGACCAGAGGTCTATCACTAATATAATTAATGTTTTATCGCTCAGCCCTCGATGAAAGTTTGAGGATAAAACTGAGCAACACTGCAGTGCTACACTGAGCCTTCGTATTACCTGTTAAAAATCTTACTCTCAAATCATCTCTCTTAAATGTTGTTCTTACAGCGGCCCTGAAATGCATCACAATTAAGTGGAAGCAACCAAAACCGCCTTCCTACAACTCATGGGTCCAAATTGTAAGGGAATTATACCAAATGGAAAAGATAACATACTCCTTAAGACTCCAAAAAGACATTTTCAGCCAACGCTGGGGTCCTCTTAAAGACTCGAGTAAACAAGTCTCACAATCAATTTTTATTTTAATTCTAGATTATGTTACATAGGCCCTCCATCCGAGGAGAATTCTTGCGCTTCGTTTGTATGGTGAGGCTGAGACCACAATTATGATGCTGAAACAGTAAAATGTCATGCTGGGACAGTTAATCTATGGTAAAATTTCACACTGCAAAAACTGTTAATTGTCATTGTATGTTGTGTATTTGCTCTGTTTTAAAATCAATAAAAAAAAGAAAAAATTACACATTTTGCAGCTTAAAGGTAAGCCATTTCTGGTGAGTCTCTATCATTTACAGTTTCTGATAACTAAACCAAAAATACAACAAAAAGAACAAAGAAGAATCTGGTTCCCGTAGAGGGGAAGCTTGAATCAAGGGGTCTTTGTGATTCATGCTGCCTATAGAGGTCTAAAACAGCAGAAGTAGGAGGAAGCATCATAGTGAAGTGAGACTCCGCTCCACCACCAGAGGAAGTGCTAGACATCTTGGTCAAAATGCATCGCTTCATTCAGTCACCTCCAACTGAGAAACCGTACAAAGAGAACTAGCAAACCAGCCAGCTGTCTATATGTGGTTTTAAAAATATAAAGTAAAACTTACAACTGGAAGAACTACAACTCAGCAGCAGGCTGAGAGGTGTAATCGCTGCAAAGGTCAGAAGTGCACCGCTGACCAGACCACGTGTTCCTCTGCTTTCAGGTTTGTTTGTTGACAGTTTCTTGCGTTTTTTTTTCAAGGCTATTTTTGTCTCCTCCAGGTCTGTGCTCAGGACATAAAGCCCCTCTGTTTACAGGGTGTGTTGACTCCCAGCCAGGAGAGACTCCGGTCACACGCTCCAATCTCAGTGCTCTGCCCAGACGGCCAAGTGTTTCCCAGCTGGTAGCAAATGCTCTCCTAGTTTCTCAAAGATGCTCTCAGTGCTACACTGAGAGCACACTGGGCTTCAAGAGCAAGTAGGGACACATTTGAACCTTTTTGTAGTTTAGTATCTCGACTTATCTAACATAAAATATTGGCATCTCTTTCTCTCCAGACAGACCTTGAGATAAGAGAGTCTACAATGCCTATATTTTACAATAAACACACATTTAAATTATCCTTTAATCTTAGGCTTTTAATGACGTTTTGATCCGTTTTTCTAGGCTGGCAGATAACAACACTAAACTTAAAAAACAAGAGTCAATTATTTGGCTGTTGATTTGAGTAAAAAAAAAAAAAATAGAATAAACTCTTCGCCGACCATTCAATTTATGTTTTGCAAATTGCCCCATAGCATGATGTTTCCACAATTTTTGAATAGTGGTCCTGTGTTCTTGAATTTCAAAGCCTTAAAAGGACTCTTCAATCTGACTTCAAAGGGCTGATTATGGAGCAGGAGCTATTTTCCCACCAGATTTAATAACTTAACATTAAAATTTTTCTTGATCCATTTGAGCCAGTTCTCTTTAATCAGAGAGGAAGAACTTGGGTCAAAAGTTGGATACAGGCAGGTGTTAAAAACAGAACAGTGATACCAAACAGACAACAAACTAAGCATGCCAAAGTTAACATTCTGGGGTGGCATTCAGAATCTCTGTCAACCTAAGCTGAAAAGCCTTAAACTAAAATAAATTTAGGACAACACTAGAACCGTCAGAAGGGACTTTTAACAGAGTTATTGGGAATGTTTGCATGTATGCATAACTTTGCCCCGTGTTAAATACATAGATGTTAAACTATGAACCAATTCTTGGAGTAATTCAATTTTATTTATAAAAATCGCTGAGCCCATCAAAAGAATCTGTTAAAAATAACTAAAAATAGAGAATGAAATGAATAAAAATAGTAACTCAATAATTTTTACTAAACTAAAAGTGTGATAAGAGTAACAACTCACCAGCACATGCACTCAGAAAGAGCCAGTCAGTTTTCCTCATGCGGTTTCTAATCTGCTTCAGCTTCTTGAAGTTGACCTCATGCTCCTCTGTGCTCATGGCTCCAGCTGCCAGCTCTATCCTCTGGAAGTCCTCCCTCTTAGCCACAGGAGGGGATCTCCTTTGGACCTGGCTGCCACTGCAGCTGCCCCTCCACCTCGCCATGTCCTGCTCGATGATCAAGGGAGAGGACCCTGCGGGCTCTGGGAGCCCTAACGCTTCCTGGTTGTTAGGTTTCGGTAAGTCACACATCACACACTTTGTACTTCTGGGTAAGTTCTGGTAAGTGCATGTTGTACACGTCCACTGCTGCTGATGGGTGTTAAGTCTGTTTCTATCGTTGTACTCCTCGCACGTACCCACAGGAGAGTGGAGAGTGGGGCGGCAGTCTGCGTTGGTGCCAGATGTCTGCGGGGACTCTGTCGGGCTGCTGGTTCTGGGGCGCTGCCACAGGCATTGTGTGCAGCGAATGGCGCGCGGCCAGTTCAGATACGTACACACCTGACAGGACCACTTATTGGCGAGCTCAGCCACGCCGGTCGTCCTGATTCTGGGTCTGGCGCTGGAGTCCGGGCAGATGAGGAGACCGCTTCCACTCTCAGTTCTAGCAGGATCCCATTCTGGACCAGGATCGGGTTCCGGGGCGTTTCTGTAAGGCTCCTCTGTGATAATGGGACCCGTTAATCTCGGTGCACGGCACATTGTACACTTGACTGCAGAGGGCCAGTTCTCATAGGTGCAGTAGTCACAGGCCCACTTCACCTTTTGTTCCGTCATTGTGGATTTATTTTTTCCTGGTTTTTAAACTCCAGCTACACATGAAAGAAAAAGGAAAATATATATTTTTTTACTTTTCTTTCAATTAGATATCAGACACAGCTGGAAAAGTTGTTTAAATAAACATATAAACTTGCATAGTAAGTTACAGATTTTCTACCAGATTCGATTCCAGTCATTCAGGGCCAGGAATCCAGAACTTTTATAAGCGTCTATGATCCAAAACACCATGATCAAATGGCAGATATGCTTTCTCAGTTCAAAAAAACCTTCATAATGACCCCCTGATTTATTCAGCAGTGTTGAAGTACAGACATATCTAAACTTTGTTAAAACCACTGACTAGAGATGGGCTGATCATTTAGGCTGATATTAGTTGGGGTATTTTTCCTTCTAGTGTCTGCAGAGGTTGACACCTGCATACATTTACTCTCCATGTGTGATCCTTTGTTTGATTTATTAATAAAAGCTTTTTTTTTCTTTTCTGAGACTTGCCTGACCTTTGTTTAAGCTTTGTTTGTGGACTCAGAGTGTAGTGTTTTATTTTTAAACTCTGCACTTAAATCAATGCAGCTGTTTGTCAAAGAAAAAAAACAGTAAACTTCAATTGTTTGCTAATAGTTGATCAGCAAAAGCTTGAAATTGTGTTACTAATCCTTTTTTTCTGAAATAAAGGGTAAAACAACTAAAAACCGTCTAAATTAGGTCCGGACACAGTGAAATGTTTGAAAATCTATATCTTTCCAAGCTGCTCAAGCTTTTAATCACATCATTCCCAGTTTAAATTAAGCCTATTTAATGAAAAGGGAAAACACCAGCATGGATGACCTTTGTTTAAACAGAATAATCCAATCCTTTTCTAGCTCTTGCTGCTGCACACTGTAGCTCAGCTGGCTTAAACAAGACCACTAAACCTTACCTTTAGAGGAAAGTGTCATATTTGAGGAACATTTATCACCAGCCAATGCCTACATAACATTAATTTCTCCGAATATTTAATCAGTATAATCAGGCAGTGCTAGCACTTCACCTAAGAACTAACTGCTATAAGTTTAATTTCGAGTTTGCGACCCTGATAAATGTGCGAACCTTTAAACGTTTTGCACCGTGTTGAGTTTAATGGCTTAAAAAGAGGCAGCCTTTAAGTTTATCGTGTTTATTATCAGAGAGTGTGTTTAAATGTAGAGCCTCTACTGAAATCTTTCAGGAATCAACAGAAGCTGTTAGCTGGCAAGCTAACTTTGTAGCATTTGAACGTTAGCTTACATAGCGACAAGCCACAGGCGGACATCTGCTATGGCGAAATTATTAAAAAACGTTCCCAACTAAGGTCGGCATTCATAGTTTTTTACCGTTTAGTGACGGTGTTGGCCTCCTGAAAGCTGGTGGAAACCACAACAAATCCTTCCCGTCCGGCTGTGCCCTCCTCCTCCTCCTCCTCATCCAGCTCAATCAAACCTTTCCTCTGTACCAAATATGTCGACCCCTGTTGTCTCTCTCATGTTCACCTTTGAGAACAAAGCGGCGAGTCGCCGAACAAAGCCGAGCCCTCCGACGACTTTACGGTATAAATTCGCAGCTCTCCATGGTCCACAACCGCTACCGTCAAGTTTAATGGCGGCGACAGTCAGACAAATGAAAAGCGCAGCCAAAATAAACGCAAGCCTGGCGTCGTCACCAATCATCTGGCTAAGCTTTCCCTGATTGGATAAAAAAATAAAAATGCAGTGACGCCTTCAGGGACACTCGGATTTTTTAAAACAGCAAAACTTTTTCATATCGATAGGCTTTTTAAGTACTTATAATAGGTTTTACCATTTAATAAAATAATATAACTTTATCTCTATCTATCTATCTATCTATCTATCTATCTATCTATCTATCTATCTATCTATCTATCTATCTATCTATCTATCTATCTATATGCAGCCATGAGTGTATGGCTATTATTATCTTTTTTTAATCTTACATCACTAACCGTTTTTATGATCACGCTTCCTGTCAAAATCTGCGGGTTCATTCCTTTACGGTTTGCCGGGGAATGTATTGGAAGATTATAAGGAAAAGATAAATATTTATTTCCTTTCAAATAACCCTTTACACTACTAAATCTGACCGCGTTGTTGTGAAAAGATCGAATTTCTTTATGATTTATATGTGAAACAAAATTTTAAGTATTGCAAAAAAAAAAAAAAAAAAAAAAATGATGTTTCTAAAAGATATAATTTCAAGAAAGAAAAGTTTCCTTTTTTTCTTAGCCTTTTTTCTTTTTTCTTTGTCTAAAGCAGTATTGTAATCCTCAATTTTTATTAACAAGTTTATATTGGAAATTAGAGGCGGTTAATAACTTCTTATGGTTATTCAGTTACACTGAGTACATTTTTTTTCTTAAAGTGTGTTAGGACTAGTTTTATTGTACTTTACTTTTTACTTTTACTTGGATATTATTCTTTTGTTGTATAGTTACTCATACTTGGATGAAATGTCTGGCTTCTCGCTCCATTGTAAGTAACCTGAGCTATTTGGGGATCAGGCGAAAATACAAAAAACAAAAGATATTAGCAATGGAAATTCTTTATCCTCTACTACCATATGCATAATTCTCACCGCAAGCACTGGTTTTGTACGTTTTATGTTAAAATGGATTTGGAAAAAGGATTTCTTCAGAATAAATTTGTAAGGCTTTACGTGACTTCTATTTTTTTCACTTATTTTAGTATTTTAAATCAGAACTTTCATATGTCTTCCTGACTATATAATTTCTAAACAATATGTCAGACAGTATGATTCAAAAATGGACAGAACCTGAGTAGCATTTTTACTAAATACTTTTATTTTAATAATTTCTTTGACAACTACTTTTTACTTGTGCTTGAGTAAAAAAAAAAAACGTTGAAGTAGTGCAATTCTTACATGAGTAAAATTTCTGGGTACTTTGGTCACCTCTGTTGATAAGCAATACAAGGTTGCACAATCAGAACATTTGTGTTCAGCTTATATTGATAAAGGGTTTTAATTAAAATTAATAAACTTTTTTTATTATTTAATTGAAACTTTAAATTCATTTTAATAATAGCAATGGTGATCATCTGGCCAACCATTATTAGTATCTGCAAATCTGCATAATAAGAATAAGCAATGTGAGAAACAGTGTCTTTGAATTGCACTTAAAAGTAACACAGTTTTACTCATAATAATTCAATTAATCACCAAATATAATTAAGTCTTTGTTACAATACAAAACTTAAAAAAATATTTGCTATACCAAAAACATTACCTTAAGGGTGGATATCAACCCTTAATAGTTGATTTTAGTAATTATGATGATAATGATTATTACTATTTTTATTGTTATTATTATGTCTTTTTTTGTTATTATAATATTTTTTTATGATTATTATAGTTATTATTAGAGCTTAAAAACAATCAGTTATTTTCCTAAGATGTATCATTGACTGTAATGGTTACAGTCTTAGCTAAAGGTTTGTTAAAATCAACATGTCAACAATAAGGATAATTCTATGTATTCTTACATTAAAACTGCCAAAAAACCCTTTTAAATCGTAAATAATTTTAAATATTTGAGTCTATGTCTACTAAAAGCTTCATATCAAATGAAACTGCACTCTCAGGAAACTCATGCATACGTTTTAGATGCCCCAGTGCCCCTGGAGAAGGTCTTGGCCCCTTTTATGGCCCCTGTGCTGAAGAAATATGAATGCATAAACAATTTATCACAATGAAATATGCTGGTACAGATTTTACATTTTACTTTTAAAGTTGCATTTTAAAAGTCATAACTATAACAGTTTTCATCAAAACAATATATCCACAGAAAGTGTAGCGTGGTTCAGAGAAAAAGTTAACATTTTAAACAAAAAAAATATATCTATATAGAATTTTTTTTTTTTTTTTATCCTTTCTTTTTTATCACTGGTCTCTTCCCGACCTGCACCGGAAATTGGATCCTACACTAATTCCGGTGGCTAACTTTTTCTTCTGTGGATTTAAACAAATATCTATTTATTTTTTTTTTTTTTTCAGTTTTATGTTTCCGTTTCGTTTTAACCTTATGCCATATAGTGCGTAATCTAAAGAAAGAAACAACTTAAATGCAGTTAAACATGGTTTAATCAAAATTTTGCCAGACTGCTCTAAGCATCTCTGATGACGTCAGAGAAGCAGTTTAACTAAGAAAATGTAAAAAGCATAAACATTGTCTCACAAAAGTCATAAAACTATTTTTGTGAGTAAATGATAGAAATAAGTAGTTTTAGTACCATAACA